ACAGTGCAATGATTATATGTTGTGTAAATTTATTATCAGAATAAATTATCTCTTTTCCTCCGAGGAAATATACATTTCACCTACGCGTTTCACGTATGTAAAATAGAAAAGTAAAAAATTATAATCCTAAAGTAGAAGGTTTTTTCCTAATAATATATTTTTTTAAATAAAAAAAACTGAAATTTATAACCGTAACGATGCTCACAGTAATTATATAGTACAAACTACAAAACATTCCATTGTTTTCAAATTACATTACATTATATTATTCAGTTAAATATTATCATCCTTCCACGTCATATAATATTATGACTCTATAAGACTTCAATTTAGTATGCGTTTTAAACATCTACATCATAACCACATGTCGAGGAATGAAAAACGAACATTTCAAAAACATTACTTAGATACCTATTTCAAACTGTCGCAATACCATATTATATTATAATGATTAGAAACATTTAATTTATGTTATTCTTATTACTATTATTTATTTATTTATTTATATTTATAATCAATTATATAATACCCGTGTGTAGTTCAGCCTTCAAAGTACCTATATATAATATATCATACTCGTTTACATTTTTTTAAAAATAACACGGTCATCGCGCTGTACTTAACTACTTTTCTATATAAATAATTAATTTTATTTCTCAAATCATCGTTATTATTATTATTATTACCATACATAATTTAGTCGGTTCGACGGAAATGCGTGCGTACCTACAGTACTTTTCTGTTAAAACACGTTTTCCAAAGCACGTATGGACTGCTTGTAAAGAAATATTATGTATAGGTACCTAAATATATTGGTGGTTGAAAGATGAATCGACGAGAAGAGGACGCGGTTATTAGCGAACACAAGTCACCTCTGACCCGCCGACATTTTGTCGGCAACAGACAAATGACTTACTCTCGACTTTCTAACTGCACGCGTACAATAATAATAATAATATAATATACGAATGGGCGCGGGTGACCATCTTATAATATTATACGCATCGCTAGTTTACATGCACCGTACGTTCACACTCGCATTGTGACCGTGTGTCATCATAATAGGTATAATATAATAATATTATAATACGTTACACGATTCGTTAATTGTTAACACGAAAACAATAGCTCTGTCGGACAGCTATTAAATACGATACACGAATGCCTCCCACCCCCATACACCAAACACACACACACACACACACACACACACACACACACACACACACACACACACACACACACACACACACACACTCAAACACTCAAACACACAAGTTACAAGTCGATTCATATTCGTCTGAAGATGATCTTCTGGCCCGCCACAACTCGCCACTCACCAATATGTTATTATCGACCAGCGTGGTAAAATATTTATAATTTATTGTTATCATTTTTTTAATATAATATAATATAGTTGACTGACGTGTGTTATAACAGCCACGACGTCGGTCATTATAAATATGCTGTTTTAATTCGTATCTGAAGTTCTGTAAACATATTTTCGGTGGAGTGTGGACTTATAATATTTGACTACTGCAGCAGGCATACTGAGGATTTCTTCTGACTTTCCGCACGTGTAACCTGACTGTATAGCGATACATTTACGATTCATGGTAACTTGTTTAAATGACACGAGTGCGAAAGAAAATATTATACACTGTTTAAAATATACATAATACATGTAGCTGGTACGGTTGTGGGTAGGTATTATAGTTAAATAATGACATGACAATAAAATTATCAATCCTTATATTTTATAAACGTTCAACTGTAATATTATAGTGAAGCCACGATCATTTGGGCGTTGTAAAATAATGAAATACATTAAAAAACAAAATTAGTTTGGGTACCTATAGTATTTCAAAGCACTTATAAACCCATTAAACATAATATATTTACTATATCGCAAATAAAGTTTATTGACGACGAGTGTCGAGTGTTAATGTAAAAAGTGTAAATAAAAAATACTGCGAAAGGCACGAGTGGTAGGATCTCTTGATATAATTTATTCGTCTCGAATATAGTGATTTACGAAGATAAAAAATGGAGCAGATAAGAAATATACAGGAAATTACGATGATATAATATTATATTGTGTATTTGTGTGTTTAAATGGATTAAACAAAATATGCGAATCACTCGATGATAAGTGGTAGGTATAGTCAATAGATAATAAAGTTATCGTTATGTACTGTAGAACAAACAAAAATAAACTTTATAAATAATAAGTACCTATTATTATAGTGATAATATAGACTCATTGAATATGATCAATATTCAATATCTATGACAAACAATACATACAACACTTGGTACAAAAATCATCAAATCTTTAATTTAAAAAAAAAAAACCAAATCTGTCGATTACCTCTACTCTGCAATAATATAATATAGTATATTATAATATTTATTTATGCAAGTATGTACAAAAATTACCAAACATTTAGGTGCCAGTAAATCCGTCGCTCGTTATTACTATATTATTTTATGTCCAACTGCAGCTTGCAAGAAAATGTATTACGATATTTTATCAACCCACAGTGCACATGTCGGAATGGACTTGATTGTTATTTTTGTCATGAACATAACATAATATATATATCAGAGAACGACTGCTGAAAGTCTTGATTCCGTTTCGGTTGGAGAAAACCAACGGTCGGTACTAGGTACGCCTGCGACTTTTTTTCACGGCTGCCCGGCAGAGGAGGCGCATAAACAATAACGATAGGTAGGTAATAATATTAATAATAATAATAATAATAATAATGATAATAATAATAATAATAATAATAATGATAATATAATACCTACCTACTATTATAGGTTTGCCTGCAATTGTATGGACGTCGGCACGAGCGATGACAAGTTAATATATGTTTAATTGTTCATTCGCGTATACCTATCATTGTTTTATTTGTGAGTTATGTTATTATATTTTTTTCCCATCTCGAACGATGCCATCTATATATATCTCGCACAACACGAGTCGTTTGACGTGTCCATAATGCGTGTCATGTTTCGTTTCTTTCCCCATCGAGCACACACACACACACACACACACACACACGACCACCACCGCCGTCATCATTCACCCTCTCGACAAGTTTTCGCTCAAACCATATCATAAAACTGTCATCGACACAGACCTCGCCCTCTATAGCTTTAATGGTTTCACGAACGATATTTTTTCGATTCGCCTTGTACATGTAAATGAAACCGTCGGCGGTTTTTATTTATTACATTGTGTTTTCATACATCCGTCTGCCACCTACTATTATGTTATTATATGGGGAACGTTTATTAAACGAAACACGCGCAGAGAGTCTTGGTCTAGGCACCTATCGTATTATATTATTATATAGTATTGACGCGATCGCGTCTTGATAATCACTGGGCATAATATTATATTATATAGGTGCCCCCCCCCACCGTCAACGTTATCGTTATGGTTCACCCTCTCGACAGAAGAAGTGTTCTTTTAGTTTTTCAAACTATACTTATATACCTAATAAAATAACTGTCATCGAACGTGAGCTTTAATATTACATGCTTTATCGAACGTTATTTGTTCGATGCGCTCGCGAGATTCGCCTTATACGTAAACACGAAACACCGTCCGACGGTTTTTATTTATTGCATTTTATTTCCATACATCCACATCCACCCCCTACTGTACACGAGGAACGTTTATTAAACGAAACACGTGCAGCGTCTACGTCGAACGTTGTGGCACCTATTATAGTATTAACGCAATCGCGTCTTGATAATCACTGGGTATAGGTGTCCAACACATCGCCGCCGGGCCGAGGAACGCTTTGGCTCGTGACATGGTTTCGAACAGCTACATATAGCAGCAGCCGCAGACTGCGACGCAGTCGGATAAAACGCAGTTGATTTTATTTTTATTTTTCAAATATTATAATATTTAAATTTAACGACACGAAACCAGTAAGATTCTAGTGATATTTAATATTATATTATATTTTATGAGAATTCGATAGTCGATCATATTTTTATGATATTATTTTCTGTTTCTCCTGTACATCGTAGGTATATTTTTTAGGCCCAATAATGTTTATTGTTTACGTATACGTAATTGTTTTAATATTATAATACGTACAGCGATTTAAGTACAAAGAACAGAAATACATATTTTAAAGAATTAAGATTTTACAGTAAATATGCGATTTATATTCGAATTTATATAATGATATCACATTATAAGTAATTTTTTTTTTAGTTTCGTATTAGAAAGTAGACTTAAAAAAATCAGTAGTTCTATCTCTTTAATAATAATATTATATGTAAACGACATTTAAGCAATAGATCTATTAAAAAAAAATAAATTATTATTCTTATTTCTATAATATTATGTTTCATTCATTTAACAGTATATTATACTTGTAGTCTTGCATACAATTTACAATTTAATTATACTCAGACACGCTTTTATATCATCCAAACACGGGGAAATTAACGTTTACTCTCGTTTCTCATCCCTAGATAATATTAATTTTACTTATTCAAGTTTCTCAAGACGGTAACCTAAATATTAATAATAAGTAACCTGTGTAACGATGATTCGAAATTACGAAATTAATAATAACCTCGGCTATGATTTCAACTGCGTAGATCATCTAGACGTCGTGTATAAAACATTCTCGCTGCTGTCTAAGGAAACCATCGTCATCCGTCTTAAATAATATATTTTAATTGAAAGATATATATGTTATTATATGTATAATAAACTACGACAGAATCTTGATTGCTCAAAAGTCCAAGAGAAAAATAACATAGGTACCTACACTTCGGTTGTTTAAAGTATCTACATAATATTATAATATACCTAAAATAATGTTATCGCTATAGAATGACAAATAAACCAATATCGTATTACATATAAAAATATTGTGTACCTAAAGTGTTTCTTAAGAGACTTCAACGGGATTTAAATAATATAGTATTGTTTTCATGAACGACGAACTAAATAATATTGGCTAACTCAAGTTAGAACCATCTGCAGGATTCGACAGCTTCGCGTGCTTTGTAAAGATTTTTTTTTTTGAAAAAAATGGACTTACCTTGTTGAGTATTCCGCGCTTAAAGTTTTCTCTGCTGTACTTTCCGTTCACGCTCTCCAGTTCCAGATGTTGAGCACACTTCCTCAACATCGACGCCCTCTCTCGTTCCTTGATGCTCTCCATTTCCATGGCGGACATATTCGGCGGTTTCCTGGTAAGTTCCACATCTACCAGACCGTCTACCGGTGTCGGTACCTGGTTCATGGTTCGGCCACTCGGACAACTCGGTTCCGTGTCGTCGTTGCGGGTGTACTTGTTCGCTTGCGGGTCTATGTCCCATGCGACGGACATGTCTCTAAGGCGACCCAACGACTTGCGCCTGGTAGCTGTGTCGTCGTCACCACGTACCGAGTTTTGCTGTTCCATGATGATTCCGGTATAGTTTTCAGTGCCTATGCATGTCTGAAACATAAATATAGACAATATTTCAACTACAAACGCATAAGTTAAATCCTTATACAGATGACAATAATTTGAAAATAATATGATTAGTAACATTATAATAATATTTTGATAGGAACTTTTTTTTTCTTTTAATTTTAGAAGAATATATACAATCTATAACTACACAATATAATAAGTATATGTGCGAAGGAACAAATAACATGAATTAATAATTTGGGGAAAGAAGCCACCCACTGATGACACTTTCGACTTGGTTTAAATCTTGTGTGATTTAATAAATAAGTTTTTTTTTTTAAATATTTAAGGTAATAAATCTCTGAGCCATTTACGTTTGAGTCTCCTTGAGGGGCTACTTGGGATTGTGAGGGATGATAAGTTCTTGATGAGAGGATTTGAATGGGAATAAGATAGACAGTGATGACATTTTTTATAAAAACGTTTAGCTTCTTCATGATAGGATCTAAATCCACTTATAAGTTATAATAATAATAATAATAATAATAATAATAATATTTAAGTACACGTAATAATAATTATTGTACTGTTTACGATATATTCTATAAATGTTTAAACCATTCACGGGCAGACAACGTAAGTACGACTTGTACAAAATACCTCAATATATTTGTTGAAATTATTAAGAATGTTTTTAGTGAGTAATTTAGGTGAAAGTAAAAATTAGATGGATTTATTTTATTATTATAATTTGTAAATTATTAAAATATAATATTATTAGACTATAATAATATATTATATTATGCACGTAATACAAAAAAAACCGAGTAAAAATATTTATAATTTAGTAGCTAATTTAATCAATTATTATTTTATCTTATAACTTTTAGGTTTAGTCATAGGTACAACTTCTTCTTTTTTTAAATTTAATTTAACTCGTCTATTGGAAAGTGTTATAAACTCTTGTGTATACTCATACACTCCTCTTAGTAATAAAATATATCTGTGGGCATTAGACGGCATCCTGCAGCACGCGATAACTTATAATATTTTAAAAATATTTTACCACATCAATTCGTAATATTTTATACGGAATGAAATCGATTTATTTTGAGAGGAAGTCTGCAGTTTATTACATTCATCTATCATCAATTTTGATTTAGCACCAACGTTTTCAGAACCAAACAGTACGTTACTAGGTGCGTATATCAATTCTTATTACCCGTTGACCGGTTAGGATTTCGTGAGTAGCCCGCCCAATCGATTTTTTTCTATTTACATTGTTCGAACAAACATACACATCATTTCGCTGTCAGATTGATCTCTCATACGGTTTCCAAAACGGCACAGCAGTCGGTCGGTCGGCATTATTATATTATGATTATTATTATTTTTATTTCATATTATAATGTTGATTGATCGACGATTAAAACGGTGTAGGTACTTTATCGATCCCCTCGCCGTAACAAGATCAGTTCGGTTGGTCTGCACATGCATGTTTTCTTCAGGTCAAAAACGATGTCGTGCGTCTTAAGCGACCGGCCATAAGTCTCGAAAAAGATAAACGTTTGTATTGTAGTCACACAAGTCACGAATCACTGGCACTTACACTCACAGTAAATAATGACGATAAAAATAAAATATGCTTGTACTGCTGCAGTCGAGATTGAAGTACGACAGCGATTTTATATTATCTTCAGACTCAAAAGAAATTAAAAATTTCATGTTATAATATTTCAAACGTTTCTATATGGACAAGTTTAAAGCTAAACGTTTTTATATTCCTTTAGAAATTGAACCCGTCATTTGTGACGTTTGAAACTCGTAACACAATAATAAACACTAAACATTAATAATTAGCTACCTACTGCAATTATGAATTAAACCAAAGTTGCATACAAATGAATTAGGCGATTTTGTCAAATATTGATTAACAACAAATTGGTTTTATACCTACCAACCTATATTTTCAATTTGAAAACAAAATGTATTTACTTATAAATACTAAATAATGATTCAAAAATGGGTTAAAACTAAGATACAGCTAACATACAGTTGCTAGTGTCAGGCTTCACCTGTAAACGTGTAATGATAAACATTACTATTATCATCATCGATCTTTCGGTTTTTTATAAGACCTCAGAATATTATCTCAGCGTTTCATAAAATATCTTTAAGTATATTTTGTAATATCCTCCTATTTTCTATCAATAATAAGCCTCACTTTCTGTGATTAAAGTAAAATGTATTTTATAAGTGAAGTAGTTTTATTCTTTAAGAATACACTTAGAAAACAAACAGAAATAAGTACACAGTAGATTTCATAGAGATCGTAATATTTAAGATCAGTGACGTTGAACAATTTTAAAACGTTTTCCTTGTAAAACAAAAGTTGTATATTTTATAACATAAAAAACCAGTGTCTGACGACCAACGATACTATAGCTCGTTTGCATACACTGGTAGGTAGCTAAAACCAATATTATAATAATTTCACTTGCGCATATTTAACTTCTACACGAATATCCTAAGTTTATAAATCCGTCTATGCACACATATATCTACTATAATTATTGTATGGAAGCTTATTATATCTAAAATAAATAATAATGGAATATTATAGATAGGTATAGGTAATAATAAAATGCTAACATAATACATTAAATTACTATTTTCTATTGGTTCCAATTGGACATTGGTATAAGTATATATTATAATAATACATTTTAAAATCTATGCATATAATATAATATGATCATATATGTATATTATAATATTATGTATCGTATGAACAGATATCGAGTGTGAAATATAAATAGATAGAATTGATAGAATACAAATTATGTACCTAGGTATAACTTTCGTTTTCAGAGTCAAATATAGAGTATAACTGTATAAGCAGGATTTAATATTTTAATTATACGATTGTTATTCATAAAAAATATAGTAATTAAAGTGGATAAAATATTTGTTTAATACAAGGCTAGAACTTGGAATTGCCATATTTTAATTCCCTCAAGTCTGGACAGCTCTTTTCGTATATATGATATGGGAAAAGTCTCAAGCGGTCAATCACCAGTTTTAACGTTATAATTTTATCTAACTGGAATACCACATAGGTACAAAATTAAAATGTACAATGATGAGCACTCTACTACATAAATTTATGAGGTAAAAACTAGCTACCTATATAAGTTACAATTCGAATGAGTAACTTAAAAAATTATCAATCACCTAGCGTTTAGTTGTCGCTAACAAACAGCAAAGCAGCGAATTACATATTGTTCAATATTGGTAATTTCGGCAGAGAAGGTAAAATTAATTATTTTATCATTTATCAAATGCAGTTTTTCTACTAGAAATGTTTAGTAAAAGACAAAATGTTTACACAAATTATTGGTGTTTAATTCCAAGACAATAATAATTGGTAATATTAGTTATTTATTGTAATAATATTATTAATAATTATAATTGGTCATTCCAAACCACTTTATTGGGACACCCGGACCCTATATTGAAAATCGAAACGTAAAGCAATTCTGAGCTATAGTATCATTACTTGTCAAAAAACAAACCTATAAATTAAATACCAAAGTAAAATATGCAGGATATACTATTGCTCGTTAAAAATGTATTAATTTTTACGTTTTTTATTCATAAATTAATTATTCAATATTTTAAAAACGCGTGATCACGTAGGTATAACGATTATAGTTATTATATTGACCATTGACGTTAGGTTTTTCTCAAAAATATCAATTCGAAAATAAGTTGTTTTTGCATAAATCTGAACATATTATATACTATACAATATTCTTATACTGTATACACATATTTATTAATTTACCTATATAATGTACGTACAACTTGTATACCTATTCATAAACAATCATTGTTGTGAATGGAGTTTTTTTCTTATAAATAAATGAATAAATACAAATATATGGGTAATATCTTCCAACATTCATTAATAACTGATTATATGATTATAATAAAATTATACATCGAGATTTTTAGCAAGTAGAAAACAAATTCGAAAATACGGTGTTATAGTCTATAATAGACATTATACGCACTTGTTTGTAATACGTTTGAAAATCACAAACATATTATTATTGAGTACTTGTAACCGTATACTTTATTTGAGACTGCACTACCTACTAACCCCCGGCTGCGCGTAACGCCAATAACATTTGCATAATGCTGGAGTGCCATGCCATAATATAATAGCAGGTGCCTAACCTAACTGCTCGTATTTTTCATTTTTGTAATATTTCATTTTTTACAGAGCTGTTTTTTTTATGATTCTATTTCACGCGAAACCAATTGATATATAAACCAGTCGAATAATATTATTGTATACACATGCAGTTTGTGCAGTGTGCATCGGTGCACTCTGCTGCGGCGGACAAATTAGCCTCATTTGTTCTTTCTTCTGAGAGTCGCACGCGTATATGAACCATTAACTGCAGCCCGCCGCAATATATTATAATAATCATAATATTATTATTACATATTTATAAGGAAAAAAATCCACGAGAGACAGACAGGTACGTAAATATTATATATGTCCGGACACGTTGGTGTATAATGTTTACACATGGCCACGTTATTGTGTCGTGACCGGCTACATAAGCAATTTAAAGAAACCGCGAGCCGGACTGCCGCTATATATATATATTATTATCTATGCATAGCCCGCAGACCAATCGAGTTCGATTAAAATACGTCTTTATAAATCAAAAAAGAGTGTCGAGAAAAAAGTTGAAGTTGCGAGTAATAATATTATGCAGTTTTATTGTAATTAATTGTCGAAAACTCGCAGAGCTTGTTCGCATTATCATACCTACTTGTAATATCGTACTGCAGTTGACATATTTTAATATATTAATATTATACAGACATTGTGTCAAAATAATACGCACATTAAACAGGACGAGCTCGAGTATTGCCTTTCGAGTGGACCAAAGTCAGTTGCACTCTGCTGCAGCAGCAGTAGGTAGCAC